AGATGGTTCACCCGCAGTTCTTTTCAAGTACCACCACTCAATAAGAGCCATCACAGAACTGGATTCCTTTAATGGTGGTCGCGGTTCACAGTAATGTCAATGATGTCATATTTTCCTCTACACAGCTGGGAAAAAAGCCATTAAGTCAGGTCTCATTATGGCAGCAGTCTGGAATGAATGTTTCACGTCTGGGTTTTCAGGTTTAAAAGTTGTTGTTGTTGATTCACTGAGGAACTTTTGCTTCATGAGGCTAAGAACCAAGGACAACTTTGCTGCTCTGTGCTCTCTCTCCCTCACAAACTCTGCTATAATGATGCAGTTGTTTGCAAGTTTAGGATCACATTTCTTAATGCAATCTCATCCAATTATGTTAGCGTCCAAAAAGCCCTGCGTAACTGCACTCTAGGATAAATGCTATGTTATTATGGTTAGTTTAAATCACAAAATCAGCAAAAAGCAGAGCTGTTGAAAATCATTTAAGGATTATTTCTGAGGAAATGTTGTGAACGCTGAAAGGAATGTATTAATGGAAATGATAAGCAGGGAGGGCTGATTTCGTGCACAGATGGTTATGAGGATAAGATGCTCCAGATGCCTGAATGACCCACATGCAGTGACCACATCACATTAATGATTACAGACTAACTGGGGGAAGATTTTGGACTCTATGTGTATGTAATTGTGGCTCTAAGTTTGTGGCTAGAAAATCTGCAGATACACACACATGCACATATAGCAACGCACCCCCCCTGATCCTGTCAATCCTGAGGTTTTGAGTTCAGTTGGGTCAGCCTTGCTTCTGAATTTAGATACTGCTCATTAAAGTGAGTGAACACAGCAACCGCATAAAGACTAACTGCCGGTGTCCGAGCATGTGGAATGTGTATTGTTTTTAGGAAAAGAGGAACTGTGGAAGGATTGATTATAGAAACACTCACCTCCCCTGCTTCCCTTCCACTCCCTGCCAAAGACCCTTAAAGGCATGTGAACACATCTTGATTTGGACTTCTAGAAAAAAAAATATGATGAGGGGGAATTCCTCACAGTTAGTAATTTAGTAATTTTAGACAGAGGGCGTGGAAGTCACTTCTCCTTGAAATGTTCAAACACATCCAGTCTGCTATACAGCAGCCACTGTGGCCAACGCCAAACACAGGCAGAGAGCATCTGTCTTTACGAGATTGTTGCCCTAAAGAAGCGCTTACAAATCATCGACCGTCTTCAAAGTTATGGCTTTGACTTCCCACAACACGTGTTATAAACGGGCAGTGAGACATCAATCATGCATGTCTCTCTCACAATCATCCATACAAGGAGAGTGTCTGACAGCCAAGTATCAGCTTTACTGCCAGCGTGACATCTGGAAACACCTGCTGCACTGCTTTTATGAGCATTTTATGAATAAACACATTTGTTCCGAGTTTATTTTGGTTTTTAACGAGAGGATATGGATTTAGAAAAAAGATAATGTTTTCATTGATATTTAAAGTCAACTTTATTGTCAATCTTTCCGTTTGTGTGTACAGACAGAGATCGAAATACAGATTCCCACAATCCCGAATACAAAAACAAACATGTATAAAAATATGTATGAAAATATGTATACACCTATAAATACACAATCAAAGACATGTTATACATATGCACACATTAATACCTACATAAAAGCACAACAATCAATACAAAATAACAGTCACTTCAATGTCTTTGAGAATGTGCATTAGTGCAAGACCTGTAATGATTATGATGTATGGCAGATACATTTCCTTTAACTTCTTCTCTTTACTTGAACTTGCAGTGGGCTATACGATGTAATTCATGTAATTTGGGAAATAAACACCTGCCTAATCCAATTTTAGACAAACGTTTTCAATCGAGGCAACTAAGATGAATAAGTCTCAATCAATTACCTTAAGTAATACGTTTTCCATCCTGATGCAACAAAGAGTCCATTGAACTGGTTGGGTTTCACCTGCGTTCTGTCGGCTGGTGACTCATTCAGAGACACATGGCCCTGGCACTGTCCGTGACACAAGCCAGGACCTCAAGAGCAAAACAGAAAATAAAAACTTGTAGTCAAGGAGGAAAATGTGAAGAGTGTGGTAAAAGCCTGGTATGCTTTGTATTTTATCTCAAATAGTTGGAAACCCTATTTACTGTTATATTTATATCTTTTGCCAATATTCTGAATACGTAATGTTTTATCATGCAATTGTGAAACGTACCTTAATAAATAAAGTCCAAAAATGAAACGCATATCAGTGATTCACCAAATTAGAAAATAGATATATACACATATATAAGAATATGAGCTGTTGACATCACTTTGTGTCTTCTTGAAGAAACAACTACATACCATGGAGGTGACTGGGACAGTTTGCTTGTCATTTGTTTTATTGTTCTGAAATGCGGCTGAACCAAACCCTTTAGTAAACATTTCCAAACAGATCAGAAAAAGCTTGTCTGCGGTAACACAAAATTGTGAAGAAATGCAAAGTAGATGGAAACATCTGCCGGTAACATTTCCACCAACAAACCTAATTAAATAAAATCTACTTTTGAGCTTTCTAAAAATGAATATGAACTGGCCACAGGAAGTGTTGCTCTATTCACTGAGCTTTTTACACCGTCACCACACAAGCTACACGTTGACTATGTGTTTATTTTCATCTAAAGCCGATGAAGACTTCCTTCCTCTTATGCAGCCACAACAGATCTGGCATCTGACACCACCCACCAAGCTACAGCAGCAGCAGCTCTCTTTTCTTTCTTTCTTTCTTTCTGACTTTTTGGTACAGCCTTGAAAAAAGAAACTTCCAAATCCTGTGTACTTTCTCTATAGAAAATACACTATCTGTCTCTTAGAACTGACTTTACTCTTCCAAATACACACACACCCACACACCCACACACCCACACACTTCACACGCACACAGCAGCAAGAACTCAACAAGAGAAACTGCCAGCTCAGTGTTTAAAATGCCACAATGACGGCCATATGAAATAGGTTTACACGATACCCCCTTTCAACTCCGTTTAACAAAGATAAGTACTTTAACAATACTCTGCCTCTTTTTTTCCTTTTATTGCATTACTGTCCTGCTTTCTGAAAGGAAAGGTGGCAGGAGAAAGAGGCCTAATCGTTTGAAGGTGACTAATCCAGATTTTAATATGGAAAACACATGAGCTAATGTCTTGAGAGAGTAGTATGGCATGAAAGAGGAATATTCTTATGTAGCCAGGAATTTGAGGCTTAAGATATACTCAATAAATCCTTATATAAGTGTTACATTAAAACGCTTATTGCCTTCAGCCGAAAGGGTAACTATGATATAAAACATATTTGTGGATCTGAGATGAGAACTCAATGGGAGTGTTTGGTGTCAGGATGAACATCTTAATAGGTATGAATGAGTTATGATGAAGCAACGTAGAGTGAGACAGGGAGTTAAAAAGTCTGGATGAAACTTCAGACAGTTTTTTATCATGTATAGCCATAAAGATAATTACCCCTGAACATTTCTGAAGTCAGACGCGGTTTGTCAGATAAATGTCCTGCCATGAAACACCATCTGCATACCATAAATTCCCTGACACTCAGAACATGAACATATACAGACAAACATTTTTCATAAAATTGTGAACAACTGTCTCAGAAGATGTGAAACTGATCGTTTTGGGTTCCCTAATTTGAAGCTTCTCCAGCGGCATTCTGGTATACTTTAAGACCTCAGATAAACACCACAGCTAAAGATAAGACATTTGTAGTTTCCTCTATCGAGATGGGTTCATGAGAGTTGGCATATGTTCTTCTATTTTTGTTTCAAACATAATTTTTAAGTTTATATGTATGAAGACACATTAGCCCATTTATTGCATACTAGTACATTTACTTTTTTTTTACATTTCTATTCCGATAACTACATGCACGATGTCACATAAAATCTCAGGCTGCTCTACCAAGCATGAAAACTGGCAAATGCTGACTTCCTCTGGGCCAAAGACTAAAGATACATTTCCAGTATGTGCAAAACATATGTATGTCATAAGACTCAAAATAAATAGTTCTATATTTGATCTTTTATTAAGAAAGAGGAATGCACTTTTGAATGCTTAAGCACAGCCACTAAATACAGGAGTTAAGGGCGGAGAGGTCTCTGAATTACTAACTAAACTAATGTACTGCAGTAACAATAGACTATTTTCATTTCGGATTAATCCGACATTTCTTTTTTATTTATTTATTGATTGCATTTGTTGAGAGAGTTAGATAGGAATAATGCTCTCACGTTGTACCATGAATACAAAACTACAGATAGAAAACAGTTAGCTTAGCACAAAGCCTGGAGACAAGGGAAAACAGTAGGTGGTAGGTCCCAGTAGGAAGTCTTTATCGCCCAGTAAACATTGTCTGCCTTGAGCCAGACAAGAAAGTGCATAGAACATCTTAAATACAATTAAAATAATATTTTACACTTTTTTGTAAGGATTTAATTAACGAGATATAATGTGTTATAATTAACACATTTTGCTACAAGATGAATCTCATTTCTGTTGGACAAAGCCCCCCAAAGAGAGTATTTATGCCAAGCCAAAGGTGACTGACTGTCCAAAACTAAAGATAGTCAATCGAAACCAACATCAAACAAAGAAGAGCCTTATTTGCAAATGGAGAAGCTGGAACAAGGTAATGCTTGATAAAAAACTCAAATGAATCAAACATTGATACATTTTCGGCCCCTCTACTAGTTTGATTAATCATTTCAGCTTTAATGTATATTAAAATATTTCTATGCTACACATAAAAACATAATTAGTCAGTAAACACTAATAGCTCATTGGACTGTATTAAAGCATTCATAAAATAAGCTTGATCTCTTCTGGAACATCAGTAACATTACCAGCGTTTGTACATATGTTAACACGTTCAGCATACATTAAAGCGTTCGGTTGCCATAAATAACTACATATAAATGGGTGTTATGTGCACCCTCACTTTCAGGAGTGAGTGTGTCGAAAACACTTGTGCGGGCCTTCTTCCTCATTTCATTACAGGAAGTGAGTTTGCAGTCAGATGCTGTCGCCACACTCTGTGACAGGTCATTGCTGTAAGCTGTTGTGAACATGATACTTCTGTAGTAGCGGTCTCGGCTGCTGCCACCATGGGTCATTATCTCTTTAAACACACTTGATGCCATCACAGCAGGCCAGCTACAACTCCCACAGGTAGGTGTCTACAATTTATACCGCCAGCCGCGTTCAAAGCTTTCCATCTCGGCAGGTTGTTGACATTTCACATTATTTCTCCATACTGGCCAACACTGTGATGCAACCTAAGGGTATGGTCACAGGCCGGATCTGTTGAAATGCCTCATGGTGTAATTGATGAAATATGGATTGCATTTTAAAACAAGCGGACATGATTTTGCAATATGTGAATTCAATATCACTATTCATTGGTGTACACAGGGCTGGGTTTACCAATGGAAAATTCTGACTGATAGCATCTAGCCCCAGCTTCCCTATTCTGAGCATGTTGTTTGAGATAGGTCAATGGTCAGCTTGTAGGAAGTAAAAGCTGTGTGGAGTGGCAGCAGTAGAGAGAGGTTTAGTTTCATAACAGAAATACAGACACATGAGTGGAAAATTAGTTTGTAGGTTCACAGTCGTTCTGTCCTTGTGCCTTGACTCCAGGCTGGAGGATGGGGAATATAATGCGAGGTGAGAGTGCCAAGGAGACGATCAACACAGACAGCTCTTTAAAAGGTAAGAACGCTTAAAAATGATTTTAAATAACATAATTTGATTTGTATAAGAAACTGTTGTGGAATCGTTTTTCGCTGTGCCTACTCCAGTTTAGGGTAGCAATTAAGGGCTGTTGTCATTTTGAATTAATTTGCCTATCATTTCTTTTGTTTAATCAATACATGTTTTGGCCTATAAAAATGTCATAAATTACAAGTTTTTTCAAAGTCAAGGGGAAGTTTTTTTAATGTTCGTTTTGAACATTTAAACCTCCAAGAAATTCAGTTTAAATTGATATCAAACAGAAAAAAGCAGAACATCTACTTTTTTGATTAATTCATCAAAAATATACTTTAAAAAAAAAAATATAACAATTCTTAAAATAGTTGCCGCTACATGAGTTATCCACTTTCTTCGAATGCACAACCTGATTGTATCGGAGATGTCATGATCTTAAGCTAAACTCAATGACTTAAACAAGAGGAATTTCCGAGGTGTAGTCCCACACATCTCTGGACTTTTCTAAATCATGATGTCTTTGTATTTGCATTAGTAAATGTCAGCTGTACTCTGTTTGTAGAAAAGGCTGTAACTATTGTTCTCGGCAGGTCCGGAGGAGGACATGGTGGTGGTGCTTCAGGACTACCCGTCGCCGGACATCAGCGAGCCGATCTACAGGATGGGGGAGAAGCTCAGACTCATAGCCCAGTACGTTCATGCATTAACTTTCTTCATTTAAAACCATTTCAGTGTCTTCTGTCCCAGGCGTTAACCTGGTAGACGGAAGATCTCAAATCAAAATGAGGAAATACGGTGGAATTGGTTACTTGATGCAGGATAGAGAAGTGTTCACACTAAAGGTCAATGTTTGATTCCTCTTTGCTTCTTCATGGTCAGGGAGGCTTACTGGTGGAGAGTACGCTCCATCCAAACACAAAAGGAGAACTACATACCCAACAGCCATGTCGCAAAAGTGTACCATAGGTAAGTAAAACCATATTGAAACCATCCACCAATATCGGCATCACTGATCTGTTTCAACATAACATCAAGAATATCAAATGCATCTTTTTCCACTACAACAATCTGAAGGAAGTGGCGGGAGATGTTATTAACACAAAATATTCATCACATTAGTATTGTACGTGTAGATTTGATGTTTTTTTGTTGTGTATGATAATGTTAATATATAATACAATGAAGGGATTGATTCAGTTTAAAAGCATAAAAGTCTAAAATGCAATGAGTATTTAATGTGATCGCTAACACATGACTTTTTTTTGTCCGGTCAGTTGGCTGTTTGAGGGGGTGGAGAGGCAGAAGGCCGAAGAGCTGCTCAGTTTACCCGGGAACAGAGTGGGCTCCTTCCTGGTGAGGGAGAGCGCCAGGGAGAGAGGTGAGTGCTTTCTGTACAATGTTTAAGAGTTTCTGCATCGGAAATATTAAGACTGTTTACAAGTAAGCAAGTACTCTTTCAGATGTTAGGAGAAGTGAAAGGGTTTTTAGTAAAGTTTCACCTGATGGCTTTAAATAAAAGGAACTGAGGATTAGGGATGGAGCTATTGAAAGTTAACTTTTGACTTAATTAAAAAAAAAAAAAAAAATGTATGTTAGAATTGACAGAAAATCCGTTTGGGGCATCAAGATGGTATACGGCCATTTGCTTCAACTAAATGTTTTCTGTATGTAGAGGCACATTTCTAAAAAGAAGCTGAAGGAAAATACATTTTATGAAATACACTTATTCACTTTCTTGCCAAGCATTAGATAGATAATGCCAAAAAAACGCAGTCAAAACAGCCAATAAATAATTTGGCACCTAACGAAGACAAAGAAATAGATACTTTTCCACTTTTTTTTCTTACTGATTAAACAAATATTGCGTTATTATCATGGTTATTATACTTAAACTTGTGGCGATAAGCAGTTTTATTTTATTTTTGCTAACAAGTATTTGTTTAAGGAAACAAAATCTCCCCAAAAAATTCTGTGCGGTCACAGTATCTGAAACTTTTCTTTACCAATGATACAAAAATATCTATTTCGAGAGGAAATTTACTACAGAACAGGATTGATATTCACTTCTCCTTTTACATTGTCCCAACCTTTTTTAGTATCGATTAAGAGTGGATCAATTGTTATTGATGTTTTTGGTTTCTTGTTAAAATGTGTGTTTCTACATCCTCAGGTCTGTACTCGCTCTCAGTGAAGCACAGGAGTGTAAAGCACTATCGTATCTTAAGACTGGACAACAGCTGGTACTACATCTCCCCTCGCCTCACTTTCCAGTGCCTAGAAGATATGATCAACCACTACTGTGGTGAGTGTATGCACACACACTGAGATACGTAACTATGCGCAGACAAGTATGTCTAAAATCAAACAAAAAGGAAATAAGCATCATGATAAGAAGAGCCGTACACACGCACATAAACATCATCAAATGCGATTAAGCACTGAAAATAGTACATGTTCTTAATATAAAACTGTTGCTCGTCAGTGGTCGACTTTCAGTATATATATCCTGCTTTTACAGAATATCTTTGTAACAAAACAGGAAATGAGATACAATATGCATGCTAGATAAGGACGACTGTTGAGTTTGGTTTGAATGTTTGCCTGAGCGTGAAAGGAGTAAATGCAAATCATTTATTCTGTTTGTTTGTTATCCTGTGAGAAAGATTTAACTTCCCCTATTGATGCCTTTTCAGACGCTTCAGATGGCCTCTGCTGTGCTTTAACCTCCCCCTGTCAGTCGAGCACGACCCCCCCGCCTGACGCAGCCCCTGGAGCTCCACCTGTAGTGATGAGACGCAACTTTGACTGGAAGAAAATAGACAGGTACAACTGAGGCTTGGTGATATTTACCAGCTTTAATCGGGCAGAGGCTTTGTCCAATGGTGGCTTATTTTGTGTCACCATATAACTGTTTTTATAAGGTGACACTGTAAATGCAGTATACAACAGTTTTTTACTGCATTTCTAAATAGCAATAGTCAAATGTAAGACTGAATAATCTTCACATTACTTTTTCAAATAACCAATTAATGGTTTCACCAATGAAATGTTGGAAAACTGTGAAAATCAGTCCCAAAATGGCTAATAATGAAATAGGTTGTTTTATCTGACCCACTGTCTGAAAATATTGAATGTACTATCTTTGAACTCCAGCCATTTCTCATGACAAATGTCTGAAAAAATTCAAATAAATTAAATAAATGTCTTTAAATTGACAAATTATTTATTCAACTTCTTGTTATTGAATTTAGATTCAAGCAAATCTGTGGTTGATCGATTCAAATAAAGTAATGTCTTGAAATCAAGATGTGGATAAACATCACTGAAAGAGAAAATAAAAGCATTAAGATTCTTAGTTTTCATTATTATTTCTGTAATTTCCTCTCTACAGCAAGCAGCTGGTGAGCACAGAGAGCTGCAGCGACAACATGGTGAGCTATGGAGTCAGGAACAGCATCGCTGCCTACCTGTCCTTTTCTGGGAATCGAAACCCTGCACAGATGAGAGCCGCCAGCAGGAGGAAAAAGAGTAAATCCATGTATGCTCTCCCTGAGAACGGCCACGGAACCATTGACTATGAGGACTTCTAGAGACAGCAGCGGGGTTCAAAGAATGAAATACCTTCAGGTTGAAGGCAGTAGAGGGCATCCTTCTCAGCAGCATCCCAAACCTCGAAGTGTGCTATAGCTTCTAATGTGAGCACTTGAAGTACTTTAACAATAACGCAAATTGCATGAGCGCTTACACTTTGACTCAGCTAATAAGATGGAACTTTATGGAGTTGAACTGGACGATGGTGCAATTGAACTGCGGTGTGTATTCTGGACGAGTCATGATCACAAACAGCCGGCATTAGGAGAGCGAAGAACAATGTTATGGGTATTGTTTGGTAATTATATTATTCCTATTTGTGTGTGTATATGAGTATTTGTGGCTTTCAAACTATTCCAAGTGTTCTTAATAAATGTGATATGGTTAAAAAGCAATCTTTTGGACCCATAGATATCTCTTTTTGTTGCCACCACATATTTTCATCTTATTATGTTGATTTAAAAAATGGCCTAGCAAATAGTTGCTTTTTTGCTAATCAAGCAGACATCGAGCAACATTCACAATCATTTGGAGTTATGTTTATGTCCCCCTTGATAAGTCTGATGTTAATTCTCCTTTTATCTCTGTTTTGGTCTGTGGCCCTTTGGTTGCTAAATGCTCCACTCTGCTCACCAGCTAGTCGCTAAATTTGTTTATCAAAGCTTGGGAACTGCTGAGTTTGTCACTACAAGCATACACTTTCACATTAAACAAAGTCATTTGATCCATCCTAAATATACTGTAGAAGGATTAAGAGAGAACCTTAAGTCTAACATATTCTGTGTGGAGGAAGTAGAAGAAATAACCATTTGGAAAATGATAAAACTTCCCTGATTGGTTCTCAAATGATTCACAAGAAGAACAAACAAAAACACATTGGTAAAGGTTACTGCATAAATTAGATTTCAATTCGATTCAGGTACTTGGGCGGATGCGGTGCTGCAAGATCTATGAATCTAATTCGATGGTCACTATTTTTTTATTCTGTCCATGCGTCAGTAATTATCTTGGGATGCATTTGGAACTTATTAGTCATTTAAATTTGATCCAGTGATGAAAATAACAAAAAGCTCAGACAGTCGCTTTTTGAAATGTCCCTACCTAGACTGCCAACATCTTTGTTCAACTTCCTCTGTCCAGCTGTGTATTTTCTTCACAGTAGGATAGTCTCCATATTTGCACATGGTCAACATATGATAGGCTATTAATTATTTAATTAAATGATAAATAAAAGTGTATCTTTAATAAAGGAATGCAAACATTGAACAGACTTATTTGTGCCAGAAAAAGGTTTTACCAAGCTCCCCTCAACCCCTTTCGTATTCGTGCTTTAGCAACTTCCTCTTATGTTTTGAAGAGTTTGACCTGAACATTGCTAACCACTAACCCAAAACAGCAACCTGTGAGATATGTGAGAAAAGATTTGTGGGTCTAGCATGTGTTGTTATGTTTAGCTCTCTGCTTCTTGCTGGTGCCTCTGAGTCAGAAGAGAATGATAAATGCGTCTGAGAACGTCAGCAGAAGCAGAGCGGATCCGGTTAGTCAGTGAGGAAATGTCCAGAAAGCAACATGGGGGTCAGGATCCACACTAATCACACACGTTTGTTAAATCAAACCATCTAGTAACTCAAATACATTCACACAGTATGGAGGGCTTTAAACTGGTTTGAACAGCGTGTGACATTAGTCCGTTAAAACGTTTTTGGCTGCTGTGTAATTTCAAAGATTTACAAAAAACCTATGCTGTCTAAGACATATCCTCATCCTCCTTATACATCCTGAAAGTTGGCAACTCTGCCAATCAAAGTAAACTGAGTGTGACTAGTTAAGACGCGCTGAGCACTTTCATCTCAGTTAAAAAGCAGGATCAAATACTTGTTTCCCGGTTTAAGGTCTCGTAAAATACCTGCAAGTAACATATTGGGATTCTGTGTCTGTGTGTGTGTGTGTGTTTAGTGGAACAATCAGTGATGCAGACACACACACATCTGGTAGCCTACTGCTGCACCATACAGAGACTTCTGTCCAGTCAGCATTACTCAGTCCTCCAGGTGACGTGTAACTAGGACTCTGTAACTGCTCTGGGTGATTTTCCTGTTGTTCAATGTCTATTCATTGACAGTTCTAGTCAGAAAGTGCAACCGATCTGGGGTGAAGCAAAGTTTGAGAGTTCATTTCTGAATCAGAATGAAGGCAAACTTGTGGGAAACATGTTTTCATCAAAGGCTGCTTATACATTCAAAATAAACTCCCTTTGACTGATCTAGTCATCCATATTCACATCCCTGAACGTTCAACAAAAAACAACAACTCTTCCTTGAAATCACGTGAGCATTTAATGTAAATACCCATGCAGATAAGAAAGACAATACTCAGTCACCCCGCCAATCACCACATATCTGTGGGTTTACATGTTGGGGGGAAAAAAGGCTCTCGATGGGATGAAGAGCGGAAGAACTACAGCTCAAACTTAACAGAACCAGACAGAACGCATGTTGTTTTACGAAGAAAAAACCCTGAGAGGTCTTCATGATGAGACAAAAGGAATGCCAACGTTGAGTCCCTTGTTCTCAATCTTTGATGTTACAGTGGATATAAGTACCAAAGAAAGCACTCAAACAATAAAGTTTTAGGTTTTTTTCCATGAACAAAAACAAGAGGAGGAAGGAGAGTGGAGGGCCGTTCATCTCTTAGTCTCAGGAGAAAGGAGTGGGATAAGTAAAGGAAATTAAGAGATGGAGGGAGATTCCTCTTCCTCGAGTCTGTTTTCTGTTAATTATGCTCTTATAATCTCACTCCATCCTCCCTTCCACCCCGAGGCCCAGCTGTCCAAACCTCTGACTTCATCACTTCTGCACTCGATGCACGCTTCAAAATATCCAGATAAATGTTTGCTTTGTTCCATCACAAACACATTCTGTCCTTGGCCCTCTTGTTAATTAAAACTGCTGTTTTCATTCTCCATGCGGTTGCTTTCAACACATGAAACAGTCTTATTTTGTAAGGGAAGATCCTCTAGGGTTTTCAGGGTGACTATTATCAACGTTAGTTTTCACTAGTTATTCTCTTGAACTCGATTTTCAGGAATGGTATATTTAGTTTGAGCGTTTCCTCTCAGAAAACCTCACCATATGAGCTATAAGGTTCATTTGGTGTGAGAACTTGACATTTCACTCTAATTTAAAATCTGACCACTTCCTTCAGGAAATAGAAATAAGTTGAAGTCTTGTCATGAACTATCTCACTCTATAGCCCAAAAATGGACAAGAGATGAACATGAAGTTTTACTGAGAAACAAATAAACAGTCCTCTAGTGCAAAACAGTTTCACACTGATGGTTAAACTACCCTCAGAACAATAACTTTAGACAGCGTTTGACAATTTTCACCAAAGTTGTGAAATAACCTCTCCTTCCGAGCACTGTCAACACTGAGTGTTCACTTCAGTTACAGCCCATGAGAACACCTCCTTTAATGTAGAAACAAGGGCTTCGGCCAACACACACAACCATGTCCAAGGCTGTCCAGAGAGCTGGAGGAAAACAAACAAAACCCAAACTCTACAAAGGAAAAAAAGCCCCAAATGTCCACATATTTGCCGCGGAATGGAGTGTTCTTATGTGACCCGAGGAATCTCCCTACTCTCATTCCTTTACCATTTCTGGTACATGATTCTGCAAAATGAGTCGGTGATGTTCATGCTCATAAAAGGGCTTTAGAGGAAACATAGTGACAATCGCTACAAAACAAGTATGCAATGTGCTTTGTGTGCTTTCATTGACATGTTACATGTTTGTGTCAATATCTTTGTGATTTCTGCATGAGCAAACCTTTCTGGAGACCGCTGTTTTATTTGTCGGACATGATTAATCGTGTACTGTTGAAGTTGAAGGGTGGATATTTGGATCAAAGAAACAATCTGCTGCTACGATTCAAACAAACAAAAGAGGTGGAGAATTCGTCTTGGAGAAAAATTCCCTTTCCATGAGGAGATTTTCAAGATGTTTGCCACGTGGCTTCAGACAAATAATCACCACAAGCCCTGTGCAGGCGCTTTCTAATTAGAAATGGTTGGTATACCTAAATAAGCCCACTTGGTGACTTAATGTATATATCCTTTTCAGCGTCTCATAAAAGAGTCTTGTTAAATGTTTACTGGAAAGAGAAAGCATGTGGTAAGAATCCAAGGCTGAAACCTCTTAATACCTGTAAATTATTCCACGTGTGCGCATGTGGATTTGGCGTCTTACCTGTGCAGTGTGCATGTTCTTTCCATGGCCCTCAGCTCCTGTTGAACCCCATTCATCTCTGGAGGAGGACAAGCAGGATGACAGCTGTGGACAAATGAGTGTCAGGAATAAGTCTGAAGCCCCTTGAAGCCAGGGAGCATGAAAGAGGGAAATAAAGATTGATGGGCAACAAGTCAGAGAAGACAGAAACTAATATGTGATTGATGTAACCAGATCTGCTAGACTAGTGACTCTCAATTATTGAAACATTAATTTTTCAACTGACATTAAAGTTATATATTTAAAAAAGGGGAAACATGAGATAACAGTACAGTGTCCTAAATTGACCGGCAGGCATTCAAACAAACAAGTTCAGACCACTTCCTCTGGTCTTAATGTCAATGTTGAATGACGTAAGCGTCAGATAAAAACCTTGCGTCTCTCAAGTGATAAAAATAAAAGGAACCAACAGAGACTTGTTTTGCCACCATGTGTTTTTGTCATGAGCATTTTGGATTTAAGAGGAGAGTCCTTTTCTGCTGCCAGGGACACATTATCCCTTTCTCTCACACACAAACGGTATGCACACAGACACTCATAATTTAAATCATGATAGCTATATTTCCTTTATCAGAAGCAGATGTCTATGTTACTGGCTCTGGTCATGCTCTCTGTCAATATGTCACTCATGCAAGCTACTGTCTCCTTAAATTATTCATACAGTTAATGTTTTATAAACTGAAACCTATCAGCAGAACAACGGACCAGCAAGTTCAAGGAAGAATAACAACGCTTCTTGTTCCATGGTAATCATAAATCCAGTGTACATATAGGTTGTTAAAAGTTGTGATCACTTGCTGAACATCCAATCTGATCTTTTCAGTTGTAATGCATTTGGATTGCTTTCAATATAATGTCAACACTGTGTAGGGAAGCTGCAACGTGTCATGTAAACGTGATAAAATATGTTTGAACTAAAGGAGTCCTGAATTTGACTTACAAACACACATATGGGCTATTGTCAGAGCCTCTGGGGCCTCACTGCCTTTGGAGAGAGGCCAGAAATAACAGAGAAGCTCTGACATGATTGATTGCACCTTTGGCCGCAGATTGCCACAGAGAAAGCCAATAATAACTTGACATGGGACCAGCTTGTCAGAGTGATACCGTGACATTTGAAAAACAGCATCTCCAAGCACCAGATTCAGAGCAATGGTCAGGGATATGTTTTGGTGCTGATGCCTTTTAGTACATTTGCTGACAGCAGAGTAGGAACATTATGATTCCACATTGAAGCTTTTTAGAGGAAGAGATCACTGTGAGACTGTACTTGTGATTCAGTCAACCAGGGCATTGACCACACTCTTACTTAATTCGTTCCTGTGACACAGGAACACATTTAACAGCCCTTTAAAAAGCACTACTCTGAAATGTAAGTTCCTCATTTGAAACCCACTTTACATACCAGTGAATAAAAAAAGGGCTTAAATGTGCTTTCGTCAGCGAATAACTCAATCTGTTGAATGGCAAATGCAGGTGTGCGTGCCTCGTTGCTTTCCAGGAAACAGACTGGCAGCGTTTCTAACTGAAACATAACTCTATTATTTCAGACATTTATGAAAAGAAGAGATACTGAATGCGAGCCTGGATTTCATGCAACACTGCTCACAAACGATGAAGTGCTGAAATTGTTACTGATAGCTTGTCTGCATGAACCACTTATGGAAAATAAATCCCCTTCCTCACAATAATTCTCTCCATCTGCATTACAATACAGAAACCTCTCATTTGTCTCTCTGGCATTAAACAGCGCTAACTGTGTGCCACGAAGCAGGAAATCCTTACTCTTCTGGCCTCGTATGAGTACAGTTCTAATGAAGCGAAACAACTGGTTTTCTAAAAGCCACGCAGGCACCCCCCTTGGTTTTCTCTTCCCTTATCAGGCTCTCCTGGCACTGAGGACCAGCTATGAAACAACGTTGGACAACTTCCATTGCAGAGAGAGACTGCTGGAGCCGTACTATCACAAACAGCAGGCCAGAGAGGAAGGTCTGCTCGCTGTAGCAGTAGCTGACGTGGAGTTACTCGTGAATCCAACACCCACACACAAACACACACACACACACACACGCACGCACGCACGCACGCACGCGTACACACACACACACACACACACACACACACACACACACACACACACACACCCACACACACACAGAAGCATGTGCAGCTGGAGTAACTCGAGCTGACTGTTTGACAGCCAGCCAGTGAACCTTGAGGTCCAGTGCTGAAGACCGGGAGACGGAGCAATGTTTCTTTTCAACAATATGTAGTAAAGGCTTGGGAATGTACACAAACTGACATATACATGTGATAAACACAGATGCACACACACTCTCGCAAAAATCAAGATCCATGGAGTTCACCAGGACATACAAGACACTCTTCACTCACATATTTAAAAATGACAAATTGACAACAGCATCATGAACCCAAACAGAATCTATTGGACAGGATATTTACAGAGACATCTTAACTTTAGGTATCCAGCATACCTGTTGCTCTACTTGCAGCGACTACTGTATAACCTAAAGTGGGATTTTCTTTGGAAAAGGGTCACAGATTAAGCTGCATATCAAGAAAGGTCTTGTGTATAGGAAAAGCCTAAAGAAAGATTGGATATCTGAGACATTCCCTTCATGTCCACTCTTTCCATAATGGTTTTGCGTTTCATCTTTGAATTAATTGCAGACCATGACCTACCACAGAGAGAGGAGTAATGGAAAAACTCATTATGATGAGTCTTCACAGAAAAACTTTCCAAGTCTCGGTAGTGGGGAGTAGATGAATGGAAAACTCATCGTGCCCCCAAATATCAGCTTAATCTCTCACTCCTATGCTCTCCTCTAAAACTATTTAACCAAGATGAAGTCATCATTACATAATCATCCTCGTGCCAATGCCAGTCCCCTCCACATTGTGCGCATGGAGCCAGATATGTTTGGTATGTGATTGGTCTGGACTGGGTCAGAGAGGGGCTATTTCAAAAATTCAGGGAGGGTAACAGTCCCTCATTCCTGCATCCATTCAGACCCTCTTCATTACACAAACCACTCAGATACAGATACTTAAAATGTCTATGCACTACCTGTGAGAATCAATAGCCAAGAGGGGAACAAATGACACGTATCAGAGTATGGTAATGTTGCAGTGGATCACAGACACTGTGAGATGGCATAAATGGTCTACACATTTAAAACATGCATATTAATCAAATATGAATATTTTAAACTGGAGGAATGACTTATTTTACATATATGTGCCAGCATCTTGCAGAGGATTTTCTTTTAAATAAACGTTGGTGTCCTCTGAGTTTGAATGTGTAGATTTGAATGCAGTTGCTAGCAGTAGTCTGACATCTAGTGGTCGATGTTAAAAACTGCTTTCATTATATGTCCAGGGTGGTATGACCCTGCCAAACAAAGTGCAACACATATGCTTTGGGCATGTATTGACCCCTTTAGTTCTAATTTGTTAACACATATTTGTTTAAGCAAGATTTTAACACAGTATGTAACACGTAATAATGCAAGATCAACCCTAAGGTCGTTATAATTTGAGGTCACAATGTTGTGTAATGTTGAAAAATGAGACTTCATCCAAAGACCACAACTCAAGGGATCCACAATAAATGGGTTAAATCTCCAGAGTCATGTAAAGGACTGGGAAAAACAATAACAAATCACACACCTTTATACCAACCTGATTCAAGTGACAATGTCAATCAGAAAAACATTTCACAACTGTTTATTAAAGCAGACATTTTTATAAGTTTTAAAGAAAATCAACATGAGAAAAAAAGTGCATGCCTACCTTTCAGGTCTTTTGGCAGATGCACAAAAATCTGATGTGAAGACGACAGTAGATCGAGATTCAGGTCCAGTTTGGATTAACGAAATTATTCAATTGTTTACATAACCAGTATCCCCATGCTTCCATTTTCAAAAGTACCAGTGAGTTGATTGAAATACTGTGATGAAAATGTGCTTTGTGAATTATAGTTTTCTAAAGTGTCAAATTAGCTTTGCAAATTCCCAAAGAAGCAAAAATATCTCCGGAACCTTTTCGCATGAAAAACCTCGGACTTCTTCTGCGACGGATAACTTGGTGTCACACAATTAGTTGTCCGTCAAGCACAGTAGTTGAGAAGCATAGGTATTGATGTAAATTAAGTATTATTTTCTTACTAATACCTGTATTGTGAATCGTTTTGATGGACTGCTTGGAGCAGAAAGATACTGAAGCGACGGCGCCGTCAGTTATCGACCGATATTACACACGCTGGTACAGAGCAGGTAAATATAAATGTTACAGTTAGCCATGCGGTGGCTAACTGAGCTAACGTTAGTTGGACTTCAAACCTCAGGCAGAGTAAACATGTTTTTGATTATATTACCAATATTTACAAGATAAATGTGTTGTTTTATTTAGATATGAAGGGGAACCCGTGTGAGGACCATTGCATCCTACAGCATTCAAACAGGTAAGGTAACAGGGGTATCATGGCTAACTTATAATTGGTTTCATTACCTTTTATGTTAAGACACGAGGAATTAGCTTTGGTGTAAATGGTACAAACATAAACACAAAAAGAACACTTTTTATTTTTAAAGGATACAAAAATAGCACTAATATAAAAACTATTGCTCATTGTTAAAATACAGTCAATAATTAACACACACATAAATATGCAAAACACTGAGCAAAGTGAAATATAATTTAAAGTGGAGAGCTGTACAAGGTTTAAAAAGAGGTAGTGTGAAACCGAAATGTGCACCAAAGGGTTTACAGTCTTAAAGGTCCCATGTCATGGCCATTTCCACTGATCATAATTCCATTGTTGAGGTCTACTAAAATAGATTTATATTGTACAATTTTCCAAAATCTCATTGGTTTCTCATATAGCATCTCTGTATAGTATGTGTATCTATTCACTCTCTGTCCTAAATGGCTTGTTGGAGCTCCTGCCCCCCTCCCTGTGAGCCCAGTGGCTGTCTGCGAGACCCAGCCCGAACACACACACACCTGCAGCCTGGCTGGGAGTTTGTGTGTGTGTGCTCACACACCGACTCACAGCCTCGCCGCGTCCCGCCGTCTCAGGGAGGAGAAATCGGCGGAGCTGCAGCTGAGAAAAGATTGAGTGTGTGTGTGTGAGGAATTTGGGTATGGGCATGTCACTGTACCCAGGAAGAAAACAATGGAAAAAGAAAAATCTCCAACGAGATGTTTTGGGGCAGCATAGACAAGTCTTTTCTGTGTTAGTTTTACTCGCTACTAGGGATGGGTATCGTTAAGGTTTTAATGGTACTACTACTTTTATCGATACCGCTTATCGATCCGGTCTTTTATCGGTTCTTTTGGAGAGAAAAAATAAGGTAAACAAATTGTGAACAAAACTAACATTGTTTTTTTTTTTTATTGAATACATAATATTTCACATCAAAAGAAACAACAATGTTTTTAACAAATCATATTAAATAATCTGATGACAGAACTGTAAACAGAATAGCTGAAACTTTAACAAAATAAATAACTCAGTTACCTCTAATCATCAACCCATGTTTGTATAATTGAGTTAACTCCGTGTGTTGTTGCTAGCATACACAACATACCTGAGGTGGAAAAACTACTCGTGGACGGGGCTACAGAGCTACTAGAAAGACAGTCGAACCCGGTGCATTTCTCCGTCTGAATGTGGTGCACTTTTGCTAAATGTTTAGACAAATTGCTCGTGTTACCGCCCTTACATGCTAAACTTTTATTGCACTTTTGGCAACGAGCATTGTCACATCGAGACGGCTAAAGTTTAACCTCACCTTGGAGCGCGTTCTCTCCGCCTTGTGTGTGTTGCTGCAGGTAGCAGCTGCGTGTGTGTAAACTGCCCCGCCCCCTCGATAGCAGGCGGGGGAGAGAGATCTCTCGTCTGTATTGGAAAGATCGAAAATACTAAATAATCAGACGCATTTTGCATATTAGAAACGGAGTTGGCGACACTAAAACTGCAATATAATGTTTGTGTAGCAATAATACACATGACATATATTTTTTACATGTCTCCAGTACCGATAAAAAGACCGATTACGTCGGCGCTTAACGGTATCACGGTCTTAATAATTCAGCCCCGGGGCCCGTTTAATACCGGGGCTCGGTACCCATCCGTACTCGCTACAGGGTGTACTTTGAGGGTTTGTGACAATGCAGACCGTTTACATGCATAAAAACCTTCATAACACACAAGGGGACGGGTAATAACCGGAAAAGCATGACATGGGACCTTTAAGAAGAATAATATATTGTTTTCATGATGTGCATTGGGCGACTGGGGCTCAGTGGTTAGTGTGCTGGACTTTGAATCATGGGGTAGCAAGTTCGAGTCCCACTGCAGTCAGCATGTCGTTGTGTCCCTGGGCAAGACTCTTCACCCCAAATTGCTCCTGTGGGGATTGCCCACAGTACTGAAAGTCGCTTTGGATAAAAGCGTCTAACAAGTAATGTATTGCATAGTGTTTTTATGGGGTGGTGTTGTAGTGAAATCCACACATGGTGGAGATAATTGCAAAACAAGTATTAATAATACACTTAAAATCCTTGGAAAAACACGACTTCATTGTTCATTTTTTGAAGAGACTATGTTTTATTGTATCGATGTGGTTTGAGCCTTTTTGTGTTAGAATTCAATTATTTGAGGAGTTTCCTCAAATATTGTTTTATGGGGGACTTCAACATCAGAAACAACTTCTATAAATATCCATTAATGGCACACCAAATAAACATCAACAAAATTAAAGGTTTCCAAATAGTGAAGTCCTCCAAAAATATAAGGGTTTTAACAGTTCTAGTCATCCACTATTATGAGTTGTTGCAACAAACTCACACCATATCCTGTCCCACACTATCTTCAACTCTATTCACTCATACTTATTAAAAATGACTTGCATTCACTAATATTGTTAACTTGTGTTTCTTCTCTGCAGACTGTGTGTTATCACGTTAGCCGAGACTCACCCAATCCTTCAGGATGGGCGGTCAATCAAAAGCATCAACTACCAGATCAGTGACGGCTGCAGTCGGCTGAACAATAAAGTGTCTGGGAAGTCCAAGCGGGTAAATTCAAAATACTTTATAAAGCTACAGATGATTTGGATTTACGTGCATTTCTTTCTACTTGTGTAGCTACAACATTATTCAGCTTGGCCTTAAATGCCTTTCAATCTTTTTTTCCCATCATAGGGGGGTCAGTTCGTTACTGATTTTGCACCTTTGTGTAGGATAACATGCACAGATGAAACTGAATACACAATCTACAGGTAAGATAATTGTTTGTTTTTCTAGGCATACATTTCACATGCTTGTATGCATTTCATGATAAGTCACACAAATCATCATCTTTTTAGCTGCATCCGAGGCCGTCTTCTGGAGGTCAATGAGAGTATTTTAAAAACACCCTCTCTCTTGCTGAAAAAGGTAAATATACATTTGTAACTATAAAATCATCTCATGTGCATATCTGGATACCATGGTTATTGTCAAGTCTAATTGTGTATTTGCCCTCTTGAATTACACAATGTCAAAAAATACATTTTGAATATTTAGTTTTCTCTGTCTATATTGTTAATGACTGCAAAATAATAGTTCCTCTTCCACAATCTTTGAAGTTTCATTTTATCTTATCAAACAAATGTTTATAAATGCTTTGTCTGTCCAACGTGAACAGCCCTTCACTGATGGATACATCGCTGTCATCCTGCCAAAGTTTGACGAGAGCAAAACCATCACAGAGAATCTTCTGAGCAGAGAGGAGTTCGAGAGCATCGTCTCCAAACGTTCTGTTCCCGAATCTCAACCATCATGACAGAGTTCTACTTATTTAAGTTAAACCCGCTCTGTCAGTCCTGCCAGGTTGGGTAAAGACTGAGGATGAATCCTGGAAAGAGACTTGCATGTGGTCAAAAGGAATGTTGCATTTAATGCAAGCTTCGCACTGTGCCTCTTTACTCTTATTGTTTTCTTATGTTTTAGAAGGAGGTTTCAGAAGGCACTCTGTGTTTAACTTTTTTTTTTTCAAGCTTGAAAAGATAAGAGGAAAGCATGACAAAGTACTTGAATTCTGTTTGTATAATACCAGAAACATATATACTTGAGTTGAATAATTTTTCTAGAATGTCATTAAACAAACACAGCAGTGATTTAAGAAAAATATTGTTTATTTTTGTATGTGTCACTTTTATTAACCTTTCAATTGTCAAAAGAATAGATGGTCCAAAACTAGATCGGATTTCTTCACATCTGTAGTTGTACTACAATACCCAGCATCCTTAGCTGCTCTCACACCGTACAAAGCATCTCTAAATATGTATTTAAGTATGTTATTCATCTCTCATTATCACACCATCCCCTAGTACCAAAGTCATTAACTTAGGATACATACTGTGTATATACATATATATCTATGCTTCATGTACCATATTATACATGCCATTTACCATTTAATACATATTGGCCAACCAGGCAGCTTCACAATGATAGTCTTCATAACAAGTACACTTCGGCCCAATCCCAAATCACCCCCTCCACCCTACCCCTCCGTGACGGAGTGAACTCCGTCTGTAGCCACACTCGCAGCTCAATGAAGCTCCCTCCTGTCAGGTGGAGGGAGTAAATACAGCGGCAAGCTTTGGGACAAACTCCCCTCTCTTCGGCAGAAACAGGAAATGCCGTAACTGTATGTAACAACGGTTTCAAATCAGCATCTCTTAGACAAAAAATGTAAATTAATAACTCAAATAAAACTCCAAACATCTTTAACTGTGTTACTTTTTTGTAAAGCTCTTTTAGTTTTAAACCTGATGTTTATAAGCTTCTTAGTTTTTGCAACAGTCTGTAAATATACACAACTTTATAATACAATGCACACGCTTACCTTTTTATAGACTAAACACTGTATGATCCTAAGTTAAAAACATATGAGGTTTTTAACATCGCAGTTTATATGTGGATGTTTGCTGGAACTACTTGTTAACAGTGTGTTTCCTGACGGACACACACAGCGTGGAGACCGGTCAGGTAGAGAGCGGTCTCAAGTCAGCACCGCTGCAGACTCGCTGTTTGAGGGCTTGATAGCCCACTCCACACTCGTTGGTTTGGAACAGCACTTAATATGGCGGACCCTCCGCGCGAACACGCAAACGGAGGGGTAGTGTGTAGGGTGCGGTTTGGGATTGGGCCTTAAAGGCTCCATTTGAGAAAAACAATCTTTAGTGAGAAAAACAATGTCTGACTATACTAACGATAGGATTTCATAAAAGGACAGTGTGTAAGATCCTTACATCCCCAAAGCATCTTAGTGATGAACTTTATCTTCATCTGATTTGGAGAAGCCAGGACCAAATAAAATAGTTCTCCAGTGATGAACACTGAGGTGTAAGAGCTTTATATTTCACACTAGTAGTAAGCTGTAGGTCACAGCGTCTTTATGAGGACACTCATATTTGGCATTAAAGACTGATTTTGTTAACATTCCATGGCAAACTGTATGGAAATAAACCTTTAATCATACGGTGTGGTTGACTTCAAAATACGCATTAATCCAAGTGAGATGACTAGAATGCCAGTGTTCAAAGACTAAATGTATCACTGTTTCATACTACACAACAAGTGTTAACATTAAAAAGCTTTAACACGTAGACCATAAGAGACTCAAACACAAGGGTTTGGTGGCGATGGCGTCATGCACGGTGGGTTTTAAGCTGGTCACTTTTTTGTTTTTTTACCCTCAATTTGGCTAACATGTGCAACACGTTTACAGTACACCACTAAGCAAATAGGCTTGTTACACAGAGGCACATAGTGAAGACAGATGTATGGCTGAGCCGAGCATTAAGAGGAGCTCTTTTTCAGATTTTTGATCAGTTTATCACCTCAATGTTCAGAGAAGTGATAAAAGTGACTCAAAAATCAGGTTGTGTCAGAATTCTCTCTTGAAGGAGACTCGCTCCAAAAGTGATAGCTGATTGTCTCCATCTTGTGGAACTGATCTTCTGGTTAAAACAGCCCCTGAGCACATTGAGCTTGAATCTGCCTTCCACTTCATCATCCAGACAGCAAATGCAAGCTCCTGAGCCGAGGCTACCATCTTCACACGCTGCTTTAACCCACTCTTTAGGGGTGCATGAAGATGAGGGGAGTGAAGTAATTTTCTGGATCACCTGTTCTCCAGAAAGGTGATGTTCGCTATGTGCTGCTCCAATGGAGGATAGTGAATAAAGGATTATTTGCTCTCCAGGATGTTTAAACCGGCAATGTGCTGCTCCAAACATTTGACACCAAAGCCATTGCTGTTCTTGATGTGGAGAGCCCCCTCCTCTTTGACAGGTGTGGATGCATCCTGCCTCTCTCTCCAGTCCTGCGGGGAACCCAGGCTACTCCTCTCTGACTTGTACTGCAAACAGACAACATCGAGAGGAAATATTAAAGAAAACGTAGGAACTTGCAATCTTTTAAAAGTTTGAACCTTATATTTTCATCATCTGATTTTATGCTGTTTTTCGACAAGTGCAAAAAATGTAAGCAGACACTTTGAGCTATTAAAATAAATCTTCTTAAGGGTAATCTTTATTGCCTCCACACATCTCTCAACATGGCGATGGCTGAGCTGGCAACTGGCAGCTAACGGTGCCATCATCACTCACAGTGCTAACAATGAAAAAATTGCAGACGAAGCTAACATTGCTATCTTGAGGGTGAGCCGGGGGTCTGATATAAGCTTCAATCATCTAATGTGAGGCTGGCTTTGTAAACAAAGCACAGAGAAGCTTGGATTACAACACAGAGGGAGTATGACTTTAATCTCTTTTTAGGAGGACATTACTCAACTTTTTCTTTACTTAGCAAATGGTTGTTTACGGCTCTCAATGCCGTTTTTATAAACGTTCAAGCTACTAATGATTCATTATATGTCCATGTTATGTTCACAGTTTGTTTCCTCTGCCCCTAAGTGGCCAAAAAAAGTGTAATCATATTTTTGGCTTCATAAATATGTTCAATCTCTTTCTTTCTCATTAAGCAGCTTTTAATCTAACTTTCCAAAACACTCCAAGTGCCAGTTATTCAGTTACGGAGTCCTGTTTAATCACCTTTTTGTTGAGCTTGTTGCAGAATGGGAGGAGATAAAGCACCACGGTCAAGATACCTCTGGTTGCCTGAATGGATGAGTCCACCTATTGTCAAAAAAAGAAAATATTAAAATATAAAGAACTAGAATGGACATGCATTGAAAACAAATGCACAAGAGCGTACACACAGCAGCCTATCAACCACACATATTACTACTTTTCTGATCAGTGCTCTCAGACAGACAGACAAGCGCTCTCCCATTAGTGACAAATGATAAAGTGAACCTCAGGAGGGAGAGACAGAGAAATGGGAGTCAACACATATCAAAGAGACGCTCATTAATCAGCAGAGGACACGCTATTCTTCATCCCATCCTTTTGATTCAGCCCTTCGCCTTTATTACAAGGTGACCTGAGGCGGCTCATCCCTGCCCAAGATGCTCATTAATTTCTCCCAGACACTCATTAATCCAGTGCCCTGTGTTCGATAATGGTGATACTTGCAGATCACTCAAATATTAAGCCGTAGCCAGTAATTAAGTAACGCAGTTAGTCATGCCCTATTGTGTGCTCACTCAGTGCTTCATTGATGACGTTCTATTGTCGGGGATTTAGTTTTGATGCTTTTTGAAGCTAATTATCCCTTTAAGTAAAAAAAAATAGCGCCTGCTCTGGACTCTGTGTGATGTAACTAATTTGATGTCTACTTAACAAAACACACTCACAGGCAAAACAAGCCATTTATTCATTTTTTTCTAAAAAAGCTTTCACAGAAACAAACAAGAAAAGATGGAGACACACAAGGTAGTATGAGTACCTTCTGGAAGGTGGCAGTCTTGCCCTGTACGGGAGTCTTGCCCCCCATCTGCAGCTGTTGGCAGAAAGCCACCACTTTCTCCATCTCTGTCATCACCACAGACTTTTCCTCATCAACCAGCTGGAACGGGACAAACACGGGGAAAAGGGAGAGATTTATTTCGTGACAGCAAAGATGGTTTATGATGGTTTATCCAGGGACATTGGGTTAATACGTGCAGCCATTTATAGACCTACTGGACTGGATTTACATTGCTGTGGTTCAACCAAGCATCAGAAAAGGAGGGTGAAATAAATGTTAATTTAGTGTAGCTTGATATAATCCATCAGCAACAGCCAGGTCATGATCTACTGCTTTAGTCTGTTATCCAGCTGGGTTAATCCCTTGATCTCAGTCACAGGGGCCATCAATCTACTTCACTTACATGCCACTAGCGACCTAAAAGCACAAGCTCTTTCATTCAGTGTAGCACTACTCATGACTGACAAAAGTATATAAAACCTCAATTACAAATGCTCGAGCTAATTTGCATAAATAGCCTCATCATTTCAATCAGGGCATTGCAGGTGTGCTACAACAGTGCATAGCGCCAAAGAAGTGAGACCAAAAGGGCGAGACTGAGGGACTCCATTAGCACCAGTGTGTTTGATGTAATTAATCAGAAAGCGTGAGGCAAGTTGAAGAGCTGGGCCTCCTCATTATGAATTAGTCCTGGGCGGTGGCAGTAAACCCCCCCACCCCTCGCCCCCTCCAAACATGCACAAACATACAACCCCGCCAACGCAGCAGTGACAAATGGCAGTCGTTAATGGCTGTCAATAAGAAGCGTTTAATTACGCTTGGAGGACCTGGGGAAGTAGTTGGTGGAGGGCAGGAGGAAGGAAGACATGGAGGCGACGTTTGTTTGTTTGATCGCGACTCAGAGGGAAAGGAGACGGTGAAAGTGTGTGACACACTTAATTTCCTGCTCTCGCTGTGTGATTTATAAGGCGGACCTGGCACCGTAGCATGCTAGAATTGGTGATAGGAGTGTGTATGTGTGTGAGAGGCGTAGCAAGGGGTGGGGGCCCAGGTGCTAGTGTGTGTGTGTGTGTGTGTGTGTGTGTGTGTGTGTGTGTGTGTGTGTGTGTGTGTGTGTGTGTGTGTGTGTGTGTGTGTGTGTGACTGCATACAGATGCAGTTTTCCCTATACAAAAGGTTGTTTTTCCTATTACTTGTTTATAAACCCATTTCTATAGCTTCTTATTAAGAAACTATTGTCAGATTCCATTAGAGAAGCAAGAACACAAGGTGTCCAGAAATATATATTTAATTATGTTTAATATAGTAAACTGTACTCAACAGATAACTGTCCGCCTTTTAAGTAGGACATATTGAAATGACTTTTTGTAGAGGGCTTATATTGCAAAAATAATTTGTGTTTGTGTGTGTGCGTGTGTGTGTGTGTGTGTGTGTGTGTGTGTGTGTTCAAGAGAAACAGAGAGATTTATGCATTGATGTATATATACCTGAGTGGAAAAAGTGCGGAAAGATGAGCACAGCTGGAGTCCCTCTTCTGAGAGTACCTTTAAAAGGAATCAGAAAAATACAAAAATCAAAAAATCGTACACAGAGTGAAACTTTATTTAATTTAAATTCCACCAGAAAGGAGCTCCTGATAGTAAAACAAAACAAAAGCACAGTAAATATTATGACTTTTTCCTGCTGTTGTTATCAGCTCGTCTCTTTCCCCTCTTCCTCTCTTATCTCCTTAGCTTTCCACAGATGGAATAAATCTTGCTGACATTTTGGGCCCAGATTCTCCAAATACTCAACATTATCTGCAATAATCCTAATTTAATGGATACTATCCTCCATGCACCGTTTGTTATCATGAGCACACAGCGCCCTCTTTCCATCATAACGATAAGTCCTACTAGTCATGCCCTATCAGACACAAGGGGGAAGGGAATGAAATGATAATGGCATTTACTAATCTATCGATCTTCCAGCCACAGTATGTCTTCTGTTTAATAAAACAACAGATGCATTCATTTGCAACTTCGACAAAACGGGAAGAAAAAAAAATCAGAAGGTGGACAGAAGGAGAGATATGCACGCACATACCTCAGCTTGATGAAAAAGATCTAGTGTTGTTTTCAGCAGCCCCTCCCCTCTGAGGAATCAATATGGGAAACACAGAAAATGAGGAAAGGAACAATGCATTAGAGAGATGGATGTGGACAAAATACATCCACAGCAATCACGAATTGCAACCATTGGGAATGAATCATAGTCACGTCAACTGTGTCAGCACCTGTAGATATGACTGGTAAATATCGATAGCTGAGTGCTTGGGACTCTTATTAACAGTAAGCCTCTACAGAGATCCATGTGGATGCTTAAGAGGCTTTTCAGTATTGAGCTCTGAAATGTATGTAACAGTTTAATAGGAACGTGTGCGTGTCTGCGTGATGTGTAGAGCTGATGTGTCACCTGGTGAACAAGTACATGTTGTAGGCCATGCTAGCCAAGCTCTGGCTCTGTCGGACGATGTCGTGCTCCTGCTCCTCCCACTTCTCCACCTCCGTGTCCACGTCTGATGACAGCAGACGGAGCTCCAGACCCAGCTTGGCCATGCTGCTCTGCTCCTGAAAGCACACAAAATTATTCAATATAGGAAAGTCTGAAATATGATGTATGTCCTTGTCATACATTTGTATTGGTAAAAGAGGGTTATTTTCATTTGTTAACAGCATAATAAGTTCTATAATCAGCATAATCCCGCTTCCTGGGGTGGTACAGCATGTGAGAAACTGCCAACCCAGCAAAATCGCAGCCTATTAGCATTAGAACACCATCAATTTCTCAAGCGAGTGACACAACGTTTCCTGGAGATGAATATACTGCTGTCAGAACAGGAAACAGGAAGTGTCATGATGTATTGTCCTGAAACCCAGAGGAGTGTATTATGTATGCTACCTCTGCATCCAACTTGACAGCCTTGGCAGTCTTCAAGTTAGCTGTGTGTTTCTGTGTGAAAAGAGAGTGGCATTAATCAGAGGATTACTAACCATTGGATGATTGGAATATTCATGAGGATGGCTGTGTGAGAAACTCACCCCGGCTCTGGGAAGTGACAAATAAGATCTTTTTTCTGTAAAAAAAGAAACAAAGCAAAAATAATCACATGTTATTTCTCTTTGAAATTGTAGTACTGCAACTTGTTTGCTTTTAACACTATCCATCCTTGACACATCTTTATCTTTCATCACAAAAAAAGAGCAGCATGGTTCATTTGAACCTACTACAAGGACGATAAACGGATGTTCACGGGGAAGTTTGAGAGAGCATTAAAACCCAATCTCTCTACTGTCAATACAACACTTTCACAGGACTATAAATGTGTGACGGACGTGATCCTTTCAACCTGCTGAGCTGCACTTCCAAATGTTTCCTGCGTTTTATGTGAAAGTCAAATTCTTGAGGGCAGCCAGGTCTTGGAAATATGCCAAAAACATCTTTCCCCTGTCTTTGAGATTTCTCAGGCTTACAGTGTGTTCGTATCAAGGTTGATACGAACACACAAATGCAAATAAACACACAGGTGTCAGTGAGGATAACATCTGAGAGGCCATTCATGATTTGAACACTTTGGGTGACTATAAATATTGAATGGAGAGAGAAGAAGAACGAATGCATGGGTGTTTAATGGCGTTTCACAAAGTTATTCACACAGTCAATGATGGTAAATTTTTATAAGATATGTGCTTGCATGTGCTGCTTTAACTCGCTATTTAAATGTTCAAATTCTGCGTGTGCAAAATTATTCACCCAGGCTTTTATCTGAGACTTTCTTTCTTTCAGGCTAAAATGCCATTGACAGCACATTTGGCCTTCCCCCTTTTCAGTCTTCCTGAAAGACTCTAAGTCTTATGTATATGCTGACCCTCCTGAACGCACACATTAATAGAAAGCGCACCTCGCCTGCCTTCAAAGACGTCGTTGATCTCTCTCAGCAGCAGGGCCATGTCACAGAGCTGAGACTCCCACGCCTCGCAGAACACCTCCAGGTTCTCCTTAGCGATCTTACTGGACGGGTGGAGGGCCAGCGTCTGGGCTGCAGAGATGATCTGAGAGGGAGCGGGAAGAACGAAACATGAGAACATTTTAAAAGTTGATTTGTATGGCAGCGTAAAATATGCAGGCACAGTAAGAGACAGAGAATCTAGAACAAGGAAACTCACTGTGGTGATTTTCGACTTAATCAGCCGTTGATTTATCTAAAAAGGGAATCAAAGGGTTGCTCTGAGGTTGAACACAAGGTTGGAAGCAATCCCTTTCAAACTTACTGAGGAACTAACACTAGACCCCAACTAAGGCAAGCCATCAATATGTCTAATATTAATGTTTTACCAATTTTAAAAGCTTTGTAAGTTTGTTTTCTTGATGGGTTGCATTCTCAAACTTCTCTCTATAAGTTGGCTACACTTCTCTTCGAATCCTCGTTCATTAAGACCGGAATAATGGATGATAGATTAAACCACCATCTTCACTCTCTCTGGCTTCACATCAGAGCCTTCGTTCTACTGCTACACCCATTACATTGAATACTGTAATACTAGAAACTGCCCCCTTAAAACATGGGCAGGTAGGAAATAACCTTACCCAGAAGAAGCAACTTAAATACTGTACATATACCAATAATATTAGTACTTCATACATATTGCTGTCAATATAATAAAGAGTAACTTCTGATGCCAAAAATAATATCAGTGAAATAAGCCAGACTAAAAATACATAAATAACCATAGTAACTCATCATACAGATTTATAACACACAATTCAATCAGATGTTCACTAAAAAAGTTAGATGCTATCTTTATTGCATGACGCATTATATGCTTTTCTGAACTCCAGCTTGCGTCATGATTTAAAAACACATGAAACACTATTATATCAGCAAACAAGTCTGGTTTAAAACTACAGCTACTGCGCACACTTGCATGTACACACACACAGTGTAGTATTTAATAGCCAATTACCCTCTGGGCCACCCCTCCATTACTCTGGGCAGGCAGAGACGTATCATCGTCGCCGCCTCACACTGCAGCGTTATTGATTGGTTGACCTTTGAACTTAGGAGTGGAGCCATCGCTGCAGGGTCACAGGGGGCCTGACATTCGCACCGCAGGACGAGAACATTCTACATTGCTGGATAATTACTGGCAGGGATGGTTTCCAAGAGCAAACATAATTGGATTTAGCGGACGAGGTGGACAGCTTGTTCTCAGGTGGAGGAGACGGGAGATCATTTGTCTATTCTCTCTCCCCTATGTGTAAGTAGGATATTGCTCAGGTGTGATTTCACTCCCAGACCCCTGTGTAACCGGTTTGTTTTGATTGATATGCAATTAAAGAGTTGAATGATATGGGTCAGGTTAAATTAAGGTTGACCTGTATAATAGGGTCGATTTCAAACTAACTAAGGCGTGGTGTTTTACACAGATATTTGGGGTCAAATTCACACACATACAAAAACGAAATCCATAGAGGTTATGTTACCTGTGGGCCAATGACATGGAAGGTCTCCTCAGCGTGTATACAGGTGATCTCCAGGGGCTCTGTCCCCGACACATGGCACAGCAGCCGACATGTCTGAAGTAAGAGACACAGAGGGACCAATTTGTGACCAAAAGTGCTTCTGAGGTTTGAAGACACTTATAAATGTTTAAATTTGCTGTATATTCTACCTTACAAACAATCTAAACGCTTACTGGCAAAACACAAACATGGGTGATCTCACCTAAGTGGGTGAATTATATATATTAAGCTGTATACAGTAACCTAACCACTGCATCGTCATAAATGTAGGTGGATTGAGGTCATCTACACAAAAACCCTTCAATATACACTGTATATGATTTGAAGAAGCATAAAAGAAAGCCACACTTTAATGGTGGTTTAGCTTTCCTTTAAGTGCAACAATAGTGAGTGAATCTTTAGTCTGCATTGTTAAGTTTCAGACTGAAAAAAAAAAACTTTTTCGGAAACTAATCTTCTAGAATAATCTAAAAAGAAATGTTATTTCAAATGTTCACATTACACAATGTCCCTTTTCAAACTGTACAGTGCATTCAGTTTGTCAGGGCCACCGACAAAGACATGGCAAAGCTTGCAAGGCATTTTCCTGTTCAGTGTTTGCACAACAAAGCCTCATGTTGACTTTCATTCAGTTGAGGATTAGAAGTGTAGTCTAAGATGTCATTCATTTCAAACTGTGTGTAGCAACTTTGCAACTCATGGAGAACTAGCTTTCTCTAAAGACATACCTACGAAGATACATTTATTAAATAAGTCAAATATAAACTTCACTGTTCTTTCTCTTTTTCCAATTTCAACACCTCAACTAAGCCCTACTTTGAAACTTCTCCCGACCTCCCTGATTCCTTTCCTATGGCCTACGTACCTCCACCAGCTGCTCCTTCTGCTCTGTGAGGGTTCGGGAATACTCGGCCACTGCCTCCAGGTTTCCCTCGGCTCCTGCTGCTTTAAGAGCCCGCAGAGGCAAATGTTCCCCGTGAACTTTAAGCAAGTCAGTGGTACGACAGACAGCCACCTTATGGAGCTGGAGGAGGAATGAGAGATCAGAATAAGAATCATAAAAACAATGGGGAGTAATGGAGGCTGGAAAAAACCCAGCAGAAAGAAAGTTGAGTAAGAGACATAAATTAGAGTGGATTTTGAGAAAGCAGAGTTAAAAGAAGAGAAGCAAAGGTGACACAATGACTCGAGTTGATAGAGAGACTTCAGGGAAGCTGAAGAGCATAACTTCTAGTGAGAAAAATGTCATGTCTGTGTCTCACTCTACAGGAGACAGAGGGAAGCTCACCTCACGTCTGAGGTCATTGAGGCTCTGACATGTCTTCAGGATGGCCACCTCCATGCCCTCTGTGGCTTCTTTGGCATGGACAGACTGCTGCTCCGGTGAGACAAGGAGAGGAGGAGGGAAATAAAACATGAGACCCAATATGGTTTTACAGTCCCACACACACATCTACATTATTAACTGGAAGAGTGTGGTAATAGAAAAAGAGTGGTTTGGAATTCTATTTATTGATTTTGTTCTGAATATGCAAAAGAGAGCCAGACATTTCAACATGTAGGTTTGTGTAATGAAACAAGTAACTACGTATATCAATACAATATTATACAACCATTTTAGACCCATAGCTCCAATGGGAATAAAAACTATAATTTTTACTAAACTTTCCACAAGCATCTAGGCCACACATTTTACACATTCAGATGTGTGTGCAATTTCAAAATATTTAGTGGATGGTCTTTTCAGTTCTCAAATTAACTTTTAATTGCACAGGCTAGATGAGGCACAACTGTACAATTATGTTGCAGCAGTCGACAATGTTGACAATGAGAAACTGCGGCATAGTGTTTCATGCTCTTCAAGGACAAGGAGACTGTGCTGAATGGCAGCAAGATATAGAAACACTACGTGATGTTTCTCCCTCGGCTGAGTGAGCCTTCATAAAAACGTTATTCAGTTGGGTTAATGTGCTCTGTTCCACGAGGGATGTATGAAAAGAACGTGAGTAGGCAAAAAGAATAACTGGGTTAGCTGGGGAAGAAGTCTGGGTCAGTGTATCATGCTGTGTGTGTTAAACAGACATTGACATGTGCCTACAAGACACACACAAGAGATTAAATATTTCCTTTTAGTTTATCACCAACTCCCCATCATTCCTGCCAGCAATTGTTGACAACAATAATTCATTTAACATCTCTTCTTCTTTGCTTGGATAACTCTATATTGCATCTTATTATCATACTTCTTTTACAAGTGTCCTACAGATGAGGTACTTATTAATTTTCTCCATATGGTAGCATATGTTTTTATGAATAATCCTGTAGGTGTATGTGTCTCTCTGCCAGCGTGTCTGCTCGGGCCAACGTACCGCCTCCACCCAGGCGTGCACCAGCTGCTGAGTGTCCTGCCGGGCCAGCTGGCACAGACCCAGGATGGCCTGCCGCTGCTCGTGGCTGGTGTAGGCCGAGTCAGTGAAGTCCTCTGTCCGCTCCACCAGCGCCTCCAGCTGCCCGCCCATGCTCTGAGGGGACAGGGTGTACAGGTTCTCCCGCAGGCACTCCACGTTGGACTGCAGGAGGAAAGATGGGAATTAGGAATGTGAGTTGAAGAAGGCAAGTTTATTCATAGTACCTTTCAACACAAGGCAATTCAAAGTGTTCAAAATGGCATTTAAAAACACTCATTAAAAACCAAAGATAATAAAATAAACATTACAAAAAAAGACATGAATAAAAGTTCCAGTGCAGCGTAAGATATGAATAGTTGGTACCACTTTACAATAAGACTACCCTTATAAAGGATTCATAAAGGGTTAATAATTAGGTTATGAATTAGGTCGTAAAATTGTTTACGACCTAATTCATAACCTAATTATTAACCCTTTATGAATCCTTTATAAGGGTAGTCTTATTGTAAAGTGGTACCAACTATTCATATCTTACGCTGCNAGATTAATACATGAAGACTTGTGACTCAGACTTGACTTGGACTCTTCTTAGGTGACTCGGACTTGGACTCGGACTCGAAGAGTGGTAACTCGAGAGTGACTTGGACTTGTGAATTGGTGACTTGACTACAACTATTCTTCTGTCCTTTACTGTGTTTCTTTAGTGTACTCTTCTGTCCTTTACTGTGTTTCTTTAGTGTACTCTTCTGTCCTTTACTGCGTTTCTTTAGTGTACTCTTCTGTCCTTTACTGTGTTTCTTTAGTGTACTCTTCTCCCTGAGTGTTTAGATAGTTATCATTAGTCACAGTGATCTCAAACGTATTGGACACCAAGTTCTTACTCTTGTTATTTTCCATCTGAAAAAAATCTATTCAAAAAGATGTTTCCGACCCACGCCACGAGGGTTTAACTTTCTTCTTCTTTGTTTCTGTACTGGCGCACTCATGTAGTTACTAAATAACGTTTAGATGATCAGATAACATAACACACTGAATCCTCTACAGCGTCCATGTTCACAGGAGAAACAGACTCTCACTTTGTTTCTGCAAGGTGTCCAGGTTGATCCCTGAAGTTCAGAGGTCGTGTCTTTAGACCCAGTCACTCTTTCCAGAGACAGACAGCTGGTTGAATGGAGACTCTGCTCTCTGTCGCAGAAACAGAAAATGTTTTTTACACACATCATTGGATTGAAAAGAAGCAGCTGAACCTGATTAAATATGTTTGGACTTTGCTCTGAACTTTCAGTTTTTGAGTCATGCTTGTATGGTTTCATTTCTTTACAATTTGTGAGGATCAATTAGTTTTACATGTTTGTCATTTTATTCACTTAACTTAACACAAAGTCACTACATTCCGAGTGTCAGAAGGATTTTCACTAAAGTAGTTTATTATTCTGTTGCTGATGAAGCCCAAGGAAGCGAAGGGGATGAGGATCCTTCTGTACCTTTTACTGCATTTCTTCTTACTGTACTCCCTTCACTCTTGTGCCAGGCTCAACCACCATGGCAAAATACGTATCAAGATGAGTTCAGGTCCAGTTGAAGGAGAAACAGGCTGCTTACTTCCGGTTGGGGCTGTGGTAGATTACTGAATGTTGAAAGGTAAGTCAATTAGACCCGTCCCTCTTCAGACAGCTGGAGACGGACGATGTTGTCCTCCTCCTTCATCATCTTTGAATCACTCATCGTTCTACCAGTCTGACAGATACACCAGTAACACGGCACCACACACACACCACACCACACACACACACACACAACACACACACACAACACACACACACACAACCACACACACACACCACACCACACACACACACACACACACCACACCACACACACACACACACACACACACACACACACACACACACACACATCACACACACACAATTTTACATACCATTTAATAAAAAACACCATAATGACCAAACTTTAGTTTTCAATTTGGCAACACATAAGGTCAGGGACTTCTCACAGGGGTTGCTCATGTAACTATCATTAGGAGGCTTGTGGCCTCACGTGAGAAGAGTTGCGCTGAAACTTCTGATTATTGGGCAGTTCAGCATGACCGTGGGTTTGCCACATTCTGGTCACTTTGATAAAAGCGAACAAGAGAGGCAAGGAGTACACACAGCCTTTACTCAAGTAAGAAGTTTACCAGATGACTCGTGTTTTAAAAATTACTTCTTGGTAAAGTAGAAGTTAACTGACTAAACTCTCTTATACTCAGTAAAAAGGTTAAAGAGCGTTTGAAAATGTAT